TTTTCAATTTTCTTTTTCATTTCTAACTTTTAACTTTGTAACTTTAAAATTCCAATAAAATACTATTAAAAAAAAGAAAGAAAGAAATGGCAGGTTGGAGACTGGCTAACAATTCTCCAAGGTGGTTGGGTCCAAAGATAACTTCTTAAGTAGGGACACACAACTGCCTCCTTCAAGACCATATCTCTCCTCCAAAGACACATTTACTACCTCCTTGATCCTTGCCATTGTGCTTTCTATAGTTGCCTATATTATCCAAGAAGAGCAAGGATCTAATTTGCAGGTGGCTGAGCTCATACCACAGAAGACTCTGTCAACTTCCTCAGATGTCACAAGCTTGAAAGAGTCCCAAATTACCTGGCAAGACATTATTTCTGTCATCTCATCCGCTTCTGCCCATCCAGCTCAGATCCAGTATAAGAGCGTAGAGAAGTAAACAGATGGCCTTGAAGAAAATATACAGCAGCTACTGTATTATAAAAACATCAGCTTAGCCCAGAAAGATAGGAAAGGTCAAGGAAGAAACTCAAGACTGGCCTACCTTGACTCTCCTGGGTATAAGAGGAAGGGAAAGAGAAATTCTATCAGGTTTTCAAGATTCAATATCAATAGAGTTCTAATATTTATTGTATGGTCCCAGCCTGGTCTACTTCAACAGGGAGATATTGTTCTCAAAATGCTTGGCAAATTGCTCATGCAGAAGTTCCTAGAGCCCCCAAAGGCCCCAATCATCTAAATAATGCTACTAGATGGCCCTTTGAGAATGCAATAAGCATGGAAAAGTACTGATGCTTCACTGCTCTTACTGCCACAGAATAGGCCCAAGCTTGGGTTCATGCCTATGTCTGATCATATTCTTAGGCACCTTCTCTCCCAGAGCTCCCCAGTAAACCAAGGACCCTCTTGGATCAGATTTTAGAGGATCAGGCCACTTCAGAGAAACCCCATCAAAAGCCTGGCCAATCTTGGTCCTCCAGAGTTCAACCAGGCTACCCCAGAGTTGCCTGCATGATTGCTGGGAAAATTCCTAAGTGCCCATTAGAAATAAAGTGGATCCAGAAGGCACTTGGGGCAGACCAATCCCCTTATGGAGTTTGGTGCTGGCTGTGAATTCCAGCAATTTGACCATGACAATAGACTGATCTTGATGTCCTTGACCCTCAGATCATGAATTCCTTCAAGATGAATACCAATTTTAAGCCCCCCGCCCAGTACTTCATGCCATGGTAACTTGGGACAAGCCCATGGTTGTCATGGATGCCATGAATTCCTAACAACCCTTCCCCCCACAATTCATGGAGGATGACATTTCCCAGTATATAGCAGGTGGGGAGCCAGCCACCAACTTGGTGGTTTTCACATAGCTGCTTTGCATCAGAAAGAAAACTACCATAAGCATGATTTGCATGAACAAAGTAAGATTTTTGATAATTTATTCTTCTCATTAACAGAATTAAAATATCTTTCAAATATGTATACAGTTGTTTTAATGGCATCCAACAGGTTTTGCATTGCTTTTTAAGCTGTTAATTTTTTTTTTTTATATTACCATACTAATAACCAGAGCTCTTAAGGTGCTGATTCTCTTTCAGTCAAATAGCACCTTACCATCCACACACAAGAGGACATAAGAGGCTTAAAGGAAGTCCACGTTATAAATATTCTTAAAAACAAAACTTAATAAGCACACAATATTGAAAGACTTCTAGGTAGAAACCAGATGGGAGGAGGAATATAACAGCACTGTGGAATAAAGCATGACTGACTGGCTGGAGCTATGGACAGAAGACTGCAAAGTTTGTTGCAAGCCTTAGTTGAAGTTTTTAGAAAACAGGGAGAATCTATCCTGTATGATTGAAGATGCCCACTACTTGCATATTTTTTTTTAATGCCAGCCCAGCAGAGCAGTTGAGGAGTGATGATGGGTCTCCTGAATGATTTCTTATGATGCCCCACACTACTACCATTATTTTTACAATTCCAAGAAAAATCTGTTAAAAGCTTTACATTAAAAATGGCCCAGATCTCATGAGAGAACAGAAATCTTTCAAGAATTAGCTATATTTAATTTTTAAAATTTGATGTAAATGGACGCCATCTAGTGGCATGATGGATGCTATGGCCTGCAGGTACAGTATTGCATTGCCAATCCCCAAGTTACAAATTAGCAAAGGTTCTTAACACAATGAGCAGAAATACCAAATGGTCTAAAACTCTGGATGTTTTGGAAGAGAGCATTTTTGTATTTATTTCAATGTAGGATACAGATATCCTATTGTTTGTAGCTAGGCCAAAAAATGGGGAACAAATTACTATGAATTCTGATGCCAATCCCATATATTCTGCTCATATGTATAAATAGTGAATATAGTTGTCAAGGCAGATGGCAAGGAAGCCCATATGAGTGGTTGAGCAAGCAGCTTTCAGACATAATATAGGTATACATGTAGAGATCCTATGTGTTGGTTGTGAAAAATTCATAGTTCTTTCACCCCAAAGCTGTTGTATTATCCCATACTGACATTGTTTGTATCTTGCAATAGGTACCCCTGTTCTAATATATTTTTTAATATTTTTTTTATCTTTTATCTTTTTATCAAGTTTTTTAAAAAAATAAAAACTACAACAAACTAAATTAGAACAGAAAAATTGAAAAAAAGAAAGAACAAGCAGAAACAGCTAAAAGTGCAATCGAAAAAGAAAATAGAAAAAAAAACACAGCAAGTTATAAAGAAAAATATAAAAACATAAAGTGGCTTCCAATATTCTTCACAGCAGTTGTAAGTAAAATTATATTTTAACCTCTCTCTCTAAAGTTACATCATGACACTCTTCTTTCTATAATCTATCCTGTCTAATCATCAAAGCCATAAATCATAAGTTCATTTTTTTTCATTTTTATGCAAAAAGTCCATAAAGGGTTGCCAGTTGCCAATAAATGTAGAAATTGTCCTCTCTCTTATCAAAGAAGTCAGTTTATCTATCTCAGCAAGATCTGTTAATTTCACCAACCATTCCTCCATAGTAGGAAGTGCCGAATCTTCCCATCTTTGTGCATACGGTATAATAATCTCACTGCAGTAACCATATATTGAAATAATTTTCTATGACTCTTTTTTAACTGTGTATTCATCAATCTTAAAAGGAAAAGTTCTGGCTTCAGTTGAATATTAATCTTTAAAATCTTCTGTATCAATGTATATATTTGAGTCCAGAATTTTTTAGCTTGTTTACAAGTCTGCCAAGCATGATAAAATGTCCCTTCATGTTGTTCACATTCCCAACATACATTTGGAGTGCCTTTATACATTCTAGATATTTCTCTGGCATCATATACCAATGATATATGTGTCACTTTGTGTGAGATGGGTGGCTATATAAATACGATAAATAAATAAAACATAATTTTATAAAAATTCTCTTTAAGATCATAACATAATGTAAACTTCAACCCTTTTAACCACATATATTCCTACTGATCCATCTGTATGTTATATAACCAAAATTCTTGGCCTACTTTATCATACGTTCTTTAACTTGTTCTTCCTCAGTTTCAAATTTCAACAAAAGTTTATACATTTTAGCACTTACATGTTCATCATCAGTGAACAACTGTACTTCAAATTCTGTCTTACTTTGCTCCATACCATAAGTCTTTTTGTCCATTTTAAATCTTTCTGATAAC